TAATATAACGAAGGATGAATACTTCCTTTTTATGAGTGTTTTTAGCGGGCTTTTAGCCAGGATCTGAAAAATGGGCGTCCACAATATGTCAAGGATCTTCTCCGACGAACAATACATAAAGCAGCATGCGAAAAATAAAACAATTTTCTTTCAAAACTGGACGTCCGTAGGACGTCGGGGTACCCATCTGGGCTGGTTTTTGGCACTATCCCATTAGAATGGAAACTATCTCAAATCAACAGTTACAAAATGCACACGCTGATTACAAAGATTGCAAAGGCGTTGTTTCCCCATCTCTTCAAGGGTGCTATATTGTGATCTTGTGAAGAGAATCAAGAAAACTCCAACATCAAAAAGCAGATATGAACAATTGTTTTCAACTGATTTTCCATGGAGAGAAATTCACCTTCTTCCTAGAAGTGTGACTGTAGACTCAAAACCAGAGAATTCCGTTATACCTTTTTACATATAATTGTTTACACCAATAGATCTTCACAAAATGGGCATTGTCATCACATCTATGTGTGCGTTTTGGAGAAGGTCTGACGAATCCCCTGAGCATCTGTTAAGTCACTGCGAAATGACGTGGTGGGATTCTTTCCTATCTCTGAAATTTGGCTACTAATACGTTATCTGTACCTGGTCCTCCTGCTTGCGGTGTCAGTTCATTAGGTCCTACACTTGATGCCATCTCATTCCGCCCTTCTTTCGGTGTAGGCTCACGAGGTCCTTCCACCGGTATCGCCTTTAAAGGCTCTTCTCCTGGCGTCACCTCATATGACTCTTGTTTTCCTGCTAACTCTAGACCGAATCCCGTATCCTTTGCCCTTAATATGCTTCGCGGGGGGACTTGAACTAAAATAAATCAGTAAAGAAAATTAATGTAGCTTATGACAAACAATGGTGTTAACTTTGCTTCCCCGGGTCTTCTGGTCTCATCCTGCCAGTCCAGTCCTAAGCTCGGACACGATAAAGGAGGAGAGCTGGGCATGGGGTTAGCTACTCTATCCCATAGGAAAAGCTATCGCTACAGAAATCGGTACAGAACAAACAACTGACAAAGGTGACGTGTGAAGAGGGATTACATCCAGCCTAAAAATGGACAAGACTGGATAAGAGAATAACTAAAAGATAACAACTCGTCT